AACATCATCATTTTGGGTATTAGGGCTTCAATATATAAATTTGGAGGGGGTGGGGGCAGCACAAACATTCAGTACATTACACAGATCAGTGGAGGAAAGATGAACCGTTCAATTAAAAATACTTATCCATTCAGAAAAAGATTAAATTGAGTCTTAATTTAAAAATCAACTCCAAATATATCTAAGACTTAATGTCCAAACCAAAGAAACAAAGAAACAAAAACTAAAAAAACTTTTAAAGTGTAGGTAAATATATTGCAAATATATTTAAACATAAAAACACATCTTTACCTAAAAACATAGGTAAATATATTATAGACCTTGCAGGTAGAAAGCAGTACTTGGAAAAACACTGACCATAGAATAAAGAAGTAATAAATTTGATTGTATTAAAATCAAGGATTTTGAGTCATCAGTAGTCATCTTGAAGATGTGAAAAGAGTAAATCCTAGGGATGCAAGGTACAGCATGATGACTATAGTTAATAATACTGTAGTGTACATTTGAAAATTGCTAAAAGAGTGGACCTTAAAAGTTCTCATCATAAGAAAAATAAATGAGACTATGTGTGGCAGTGGCTGTTCAGTAGACTTACTGTGGTGATTATTTCACAATATATACAAGCATCGAATCATTATGTTGTACACCTGAAACTCATGTTATATGTCAATTATATCTCAATAAAAATAAAAGATATAAAAAGGTATAAAATAGAAGATACTATATACATACAAAGAATATCAAGAATATATCAAGATTCCCACAAGCCAATGTAAACAAAAATAGCAATCAAAAAGTGGTAAAAGACATGAACAGACATTTCACAGAAGAAATACATATAACCAGAAGACACCTGAAGAGATGTTCTTTTGCTGTAATCACAGAAATAAAGATCAAAACCCCAGGATAATGTAGATTTTTAAAAAATACATTATTGTTTAACAAAATGTAAAAGCCTGACAATACCAAATGTTGGAAAGAAGGCCAATAGATGACAGCCAAGCCTTACAAACAAGTGAGTGTGAAAATCAGAGCAACTAATTCAGAAAATTGTTGGGCGTTATCTATTAAATTTAACAATCATACCCAGACAAATACTTGAGAGTTCATAATTCCTATTCTTAGTTATATATGCAAGAGAAACTCTTGCACATTTACATCAGGAGGTATATATATATATAAGACAGTGTGCACAAGAGCAAAATCTAGAAACAATCTATATACACATCAACTGAAAGAATAAATATTTTAAATTCACAAAATGGAATGTTTTAGAGCAGTCAGAATAAATGAGTTATATCACAAGGTTATCAGATTTTAACAATACATTTAAGTGGAAAAAGTAAGTACCAAAGTATTTACATACTATATTTTACCCTTACTATAAAATTTAAAACAACTAGATGAAAAACATATGTATATATTGGAGGGAAGGGGAAGTATATATAATACAATAAAAGTGTATTCAAAAGAGCAAAGAATGATAACAGCATTCAGGGTTATGATTATCTTTGTTGCTGGAAGTGGGGGAGAGGTATGAAGGACCATACACATTGTTAAATGTAGATTATACCAAGGCCCTAGCATGTGAGGGAGGGTGCTGTGTTCACAGATTCTTCTTATTTTTTTAGATAATGATGACAGTTTGTCATCGTCCAATTCTGTGAACCTGAGGTCCAACAGGATTAAAAAAAAAACAGAATATGTGATAGAATATAAAGCATACAGAGTCACTTGTATCAAGGAAACAAAGCCAAGAAAGCGAGGAGCTTTCCTGCCTAGTTCTGTAGGACAGAATTCCCCAATCTGGAGGAACAACTTGGATGCTACAGCAAGGCTCTTATTGACCTCTATCAGCTTTGACTCCAGACAGCAAAGTGAAGTGGGGATGCAAGCATAAAAAAAGAGGCAGAGAATAGCTAAATAAAGAGCAGTGTGTGCTGAAACGTTGTAATTCATTACAGAAGACAGTAATTACTTGGTAGCAGTTTCCAGACTCAGAGTGTTAGACTAACTCTGCCTTTTCATCACCAAATGGGTGCCTGAGGCCGAGAAGACCCCCAAGGCTGGTGCTGAGGAGATGGGAAAGGCTTTTTGTGGGCAGCATCTCCAAGAACCTGTAGAGGAATGCAGGGAACAGGGCTGAGCCACCCAGTTTTCGTAGAAACTACGTGAGGTTAACATTCCTGGACCCTGCCCTAAGTTAGATAACTAGAAGTAAACGACCCCCTTGGGGTCAAAACTCGTGAGAAGTCACATAGGAATGCTTGTGCAAAGGTCAGGCACCTGGTGTATCCCTGTTCCAATTTTATTGGCCAAAGTATAGAATGTGTTTCAAATTCATTGGTTGGGGTAATGTGCAGGCTCTGGTGCAATGACTGTAGAAATCCCATATAAACCATACCTAAAGTTGCTTGGGGGTCGGCAGCTCGGACTCGGCCTGCGTGTCAGGGGAGGTGCTGTCGACCCCAGCTTGCTGGCTGAATAAAGACTTTGCTTGGATTTTCATCTCCGTGTCCGTGTGTCTTGTTCTATGGGAAACCCTGGAGTCCTGGACCCTAACAAACCTAGACTGGGAACTCAGCACTGGTTACAGAAGAGCCTGCCATTTCTTCAAAGGCAGAAATGAGCTTCTCTGGGAACCCTCCTATGCTGTTGGTGGGAATGTAAATTAGTTCAACCATTGTGGAAAGCAGTATGGAGGTTCCTCAAAAAACTCAAAATAGAAATACCATTTGACCCAGAAATTCCACTTCTAGGAATTTACCCTAAGAATGCAGCAGCCCAGTTTGAAAAAGACATATATGCACCCCTATGTTTATTGCAGCACTATTTACAATAGCCAAGAAATGGAAGCAACCTAAGTGTCCATCAGTAGATGAATGGACAAAGAAGATGTGGTGCATATACACAATGTAATATTACTCAGCTATAAGAAGAAAACAAATCCTACCATTTGTAACAACATGGATGGAGCTAGAGGGTATTATGCTCAGTGAAATAAGCCAGGTGGCGAAAAACAAGTGCCAAATAATTTCCCTCATTTGTGGAGTATAACAAAAAAGCAAAACTGAAGGAACAGAACAGCAGCAGACTCACAGACTCCAAGAAGGGACTAGCAGTTACCAAAGGGAAGGGGTTGGGGAGAATGGGGGGGGGAGGGGGAAGAAGGGGATTAAGGGGCATTATGATCAGCACACATAATGTGGGGGAGGCAGTACAGCACGGAGAAGACAAGTGATAATTCTGTAGCATCTTCCTATGCCAATGGATAGTGATTGCAATGGGGCTTGGGGGTGCTTGATAATATGGGTGCATGTTGAAACCACAATGTTGCTCATGTGAAACCTTTATAAGATTATATATCAATGATAACTTATTTAAAAAAAAAAGAAAAAGACACACACAAAATAAAGAAATGAGGCTTTCCACTGAAAGCAGAAAAGGACCATTTGCAAAGTAACAGCAAAGAAAGTGTGTGGAAGGATGCCCCAGTCAATGTCTGCTGAGAATCCAGGTTGCTGAGGAGGACCCAGTAAAACTACCTTAGGCTGGAGTAGAAATACTCACTATGTAGACATTTTACCTGGCTTCCATGGGGTGGAAATAATACCCTTTCTGGAGACTTCCCCCACCCCAACCAAATGGACAGGACTGTTAAGAGACATCAGTTTTCTACAAAACTACCTACCCACCTGTGAAATTTTTCTCAAGGAGCAGACTAAAGCCAGTAATACCAAATGTCCTGAACTGATTTTGAAAAGCCATTAAGCCTGGTGCAGTGGACAGAGCGTCAGGGCTGATGAACTCCATCTACTCTGAAGAGGTTGTGACACAGGAAGATTCCAGTCCCTTCTTTAAACATCATCCACGAGGAGCCTGTATTAACTGCTGGCCTTAGGAGGGAGCCGAGTACACCGGATGGTGGAGCTCACAAGGCAGGCCACAAACTTGGATGACAGTTTCAGCACTGAAATCATTTACTTTCTAAAAAAGTTCTCAAGAAGCCTTCTGGGCCATTCCGCATGAATCTGGAGAGATCAGAGAGACCAGAGAATTAAAGACTTTGAAAACAGGCATTTCAAAGCTCAAACAGTGTTCAACTTAGAACTGCAGGCTCTGGACAAAGGGATACTTTCTGGCCCTGAGCACAGTCTCCTGTGACTATATTCTGTACATAGCAACTTCCTGGAAATTGTCACTCCTCCATAGAGCTCTGGGCCAGAAGAAAAAGAACCTACTTTTCTTCCAACTTCAGCAACTTGGGGAAATTTTCTTGTTCAATCAAGAAAATGGGCAGATGTGATACTCCACTGATATCATCCCTCTGAGATGTCACCAAACTGCTACAGCTTGGTATCCCAGGAAGTTAGCACAGAGAATGAATTTCTAGTTGTAATATCACTGTAACATTGCAAGATGCAGACCATATGGCCCTGACAGTGAACCAAAAGGTATAATAAATATCAGAAAAGATTTTTCAAAGTTAATATTTTTCAAAATTATGCTATGTAGAAGTGAAGTTTAAAATAAGACTAAGCATCAGAAAAACGGAGTGGACCAATTTAAATCTTAGAGATAAATGCCATCTTATCATACACAAAAATAAAGGGTAACTGTGAGCTGATGGATGTGTTAACTAACTTTATTGTAGTAATTATTTCACAGTATCTGTGAATCACATTGTACACATTAACCTTACACCGTGTTATTTGCCAATTATACCTCAATAAAACTGGGGAAAAGAAGAAGTACCATGGCACTGATTGAAAGAATACAAAAAAATGCAATACATAAAGAAAAACACAATAAGAAAAGAGATAGGTCCTTAAATTCAGAGATTTCATCATTGATTTTACACACACACACACACACACACACACACACACGCATGCACGCACAAATAGATTCTCCTTTTTTGTTGCCGGAGTCCAGCTCCAGCCAAGGTGTGGGTCACAAAGAAAGGACAACGTCGGCGAATGAGGAGACGAGACACCATATCAGGGTTGAAGCATCTCCTGACATCAAGTGGGAGGGTCTTTATTTTTATATCTTTTAGGCCTTACATAATGTTAAACATTTTCTTTGCTCATGGATGATACAATGTTTTTTCCTTTCACTTTTTGCATGATTCCAGCTCATGTTATCATTTCCTTGAACAGCTTCCTTGTAACACTTAATGTTTAACTTTCCCCTAACCTTTCTGGCCAGAGATGTAGGTTACATGCTAGGTGCTAGGCAGGAAAATGGCATGTGGCAGTGTGTGGGCTGTGATTCTGCTTTTAAGCGTGCAAGGTTATACAGAGTTAAATGGATATATAAATTTCAAGCTGTATGATTATATGTTTAAAACTATTAAACTTATATTTGCATGCTCTGAGGTTTCTGTTTACATCAAACATTATCCATCCCCATCCTAGCTTAAGGTCTATGTCCTCACAATCTGGATCTAATTTTTATATACAATATGAACATTTTATTCTACCATAATAATCATTCCACATTTTTGGATCTTTGCATCTTCTTTAGTTTGTAAGCAGTATGGTTTATTACTTCTCTTTATCCTTTCATACATGACAGAGTCTGTGCGTACTACTTTGCCATTGATATAATATTTTGTCATGTATTCATCATAAATTCCTGTGTATGGGACATTTGTGAAAGCCATTTCCCTATCTTTCCCATAGAATTTTTTTCTTTAGGGGGATACAAGAGTAGTCCCCTTATGTTAGAAGCAACATGGGGAGGCCCCTGGGCAGTAGGAATTAATAGGTGTTTTTTGGTTTCATTTTGCTGTTTCACTGGAACTCCGGGGCTTTTCCACCGGCCTGGCTCCCCTAACTCCTTCTTAGCCAATTCTGTAAGAAATTCCTCGTTCATCATATTTGTGTTGTTGCAGAGTTGGGGACAGGCTGGATCTAATTCTTGGAAGAGCTTGGTTTGTTCTGATTTAACTGCTTGGGGCGGCCTGCCGGGACGGTTGTGCCTAGACTGCTGCTCTTATTCACGGAACTACTGTTTTGATTCCCATTCCAATCAAAGGTTCGGGTTATGTTGATTAATAGAGATGAATCAGTTTTAAATACATATGATTTCCCATATATGAGCCCAATTACCAACATCATAACTGCAAAAATAAGTACAGGAATTGGCAGGGCCCAGCTATGAGGTTTCCTAGCTTTCAGGATTACTCCTCGTGACTGGACCTTGTCAAACAGCATGCGTAGCATGGCCCATGCCACTTTGTTCTGAATTTTATTCTAGAACATCATTCTTCTAACTGTAAAACAAACATCTAGATGGTCAGATTACTGAGAACAGAAAGCAGCTATCATTAATGTCTGAATACCCAGAACTCAATATACAATACATTGTAAATGGTATGAGTTCAATAAACATTTTTATTTAGCTAAAAAGCTTAATGATAGAACACTCAGATTTCTCTAAATACAATTTTCAAGTTACTCTATTTTTGTCTGGAGTGTAGATATGCAATGGTACAAACTGCTCCCAAATATCAAGCCATGAGTTAAGCAAATAGAGTGGAAAAAATTCTTCTGACTTAGGTTCCCATTCCCTCCCCTCACTCACTCTTACTTGCCTCAAACTATTTCTATTGCAGATACTTAGTCAAACCTTTATTAGACAATATGTGAAAAGGTCTACTGACGACAGGGCTGAGAAAAGCTCACTGGTGCTGGGCAGGGGTGTGGGTGCTGAAGAGGTCCAATTCCTGCTGGAAGCCAGGTCTGTTCTCTTTCCTGATTTAATCCAGGCCTACTTGGATGAAGCCCCACTAAGCAGCTACTGACCATTTAAATATGGAATATATAACTTAAATGTATATGTAACTTAAAAATAAAATGGAAAAAATGGTTTTCTTTTAAAGAAAAGGCAAATGGCATGCCAGGCACTGCTCTCAAGCACACCAGGTACGCTGGGCATCCCCTCCCCATATGTCTGTTGCAGCTCCAATTTGTCGCATATTGTTTCCCCGACCTTCTTGCTCTGTCACTATGGCTAGTTACCACAGAGGCTTCACATATAGCAAAAAGCTAAAGGAAACGGGAGATTTATATCCTGTCAACAGTGGTAGACACACATGGTGCAGACTATTACTAAGACTATTAGTCCGCTTGCTTCCTGCTTCACTGGCTGCCTAACAACACTTCTTTTTGAAAGGGACCCTGCCGCTCCTCGAGCAGCGAGGAATGCTCAGGCTTACTTTAGTGGTGACAAGCATGACCCTCCTACAACACATGGCCAAAGAACAGGTGTTCATCACCAAGTCTGTGGGGATCAGTATGGTTTTTTGTTTTGTTTTGTTTTTGTTGTTGTTGTTGTTAGTGCATCTATACATACATACGGCATAGTTTAATAAACGTAGTTTTTTCTTATGTTTCACTGCTTTGTAAAGTCACACTCCATATACAGTCATCAAAAAATCCACTGACGGACAGTACGAAATTTAGAAGTTTCCAACATGGTGAAAGGGTGACAAGGAGCCACGGACTGAGGTGTATTTCAGGATGGGTGGGTGCTGACCTTATTCACTGTGGCGTGTAAGCACTAAGTTGTGTCTAGTTCTGCCTTGAAAGGGGAGGACTTCACCCACAAGTACTGTCACGTGATCAGCAAACAGGGAATAAAAGGTTCTCTGGGCTTTGGCACTCTGTTTTCTGGAAGGGTTTCTGATGGTGGCGGCAGAGAGGACAGTAAATGATCCAAAGTGGATCAATAGCTCCATTCCCTTAACCACTTCCTCACTCTAAAGCCCAGTAGAGGGGAAGCTCTTTGGGAAAGAAGAAGGGAAGTTGGTATAGATGAAGGTCGCATTACTTGCCACAGGGCTGATGCTCTTAGGCTGCACCTAAGAGTGTGGAATCTGATCCCACTTTGAAAATGAATGGCACTATTTTATAAGTAGAGCATCTTGAGAAAATCCGGGATGCCTACTCTGAAGCTTTAGCTCAAGAATGTGGAAGCCACACCAGTATGCAGGTATATTCTCCTCTTAAAAATCGAGATGGGTATTTTGGTTTTCAAGTACCACATGAGAACTTTTTAAAAACTTTAATTGCCTAGTATAGTGTACATGTTGAGTTTTAAAGAGACCCTACATTGTGAATGGGTTAAGCCATCATTTATAATCATCTTCATGAAACATGGTTAACTTGGGTATTCTGGTGATATAAGATTAAACGTGGAACCAAGCTGTGTTTTGCTCACCACATATAACCAACTTTCAAAGTATATGTACATGTACAGGTTAATGCAAAGGCAGTAATATAGTATATTTAACCTTCAGGTTAGGTATATAGGGCCACCTGATCACTCTGTATATCCCACCAAACACAAGAGCAGCAACTTTTCTATTTCAATACAATTATGGGAAGAAATTATAAGATATAAAAATAAAGGTTCTTTCATAAAGTTTAAGATTAAGGGTAGAAAAAGATAAGACAAAAACAAAATCTCCATGAAGTAAAAAACGATTCCAAATTGGTCCAATACTCCATGAAGCCCCGAGATAAACCATAGTCCTCAAAGGCATACATTTGGATCAGGGCTCACCAAGACACTTCAGTATGTCTCAAACTGACTCATCATCATCTTCCGGCTGTACTCATAAGCCAAAAACAGCGACCCATTGGCGGGGAAGGCTCGAATCATGGTGGCGTTCAGTCCAGAGTATAAGGCTGCTATTCCTTCATTTCTCACCACACTTAAAAGAGTTCCAATAAATCCTGCCTGTTTTCCAGACATGGAAAGAACCTGAATTCTGGATTTGATACAATCCACTGGGTATACGACAAGCCAAAGGCAAATGCCAGCAATTCCACCGCTTAACATCAAAGGGACAGGGCCTAGTTCGTCTTTCGATCTCTCTGAGGCAAAATACGATCGGCTCAGTTCATAGCCACCGAAGAAGAAGAAATAGCCCGGGACTTCTTGAAGTAGTGTGCTCGAGAGCCCATGGTAGAAGCCCAGTAGGCCGTCCTTTTTAAGGATATTCTTCACGACGGACCAAATCGTATTATGGCTTTTTGTTATTTTCCCCGACTTCTCCATTTCGTACATGGTCTGTAGCCGGCATTTCACAAGTTCAGTGGGGCACAGCGCCAGCGCAGCAAACGCAGAAGCCAAGGAGCCAGCGGCTGCGTTCTGCAGGTCACTCAGCTTTGCTTGCTTGTCCAGTCCGACTACTTGCCTCACATACTGCTGGCAGAAGCCATAGCACATGAAGAGCACAGAGTTCTCAGCGACGTAGGCCATCAGCGCTGGGCCGGTGCCCCTGTAGAAGCCCCGCAAACCCACTTGGGAGTACGTCTTCCGGCAGCAGTCGCTGAGGCCCTTGTAGAGGCCGGGGAACGTCTGCATCTTCACTTTCACTGTGTCGAAAGGCTGCCCGGTCAGGACACATGCTGTGCCCCCTATGGCTCCCGCGGTGAGGTCAATGGCGGCTTGGATGACAGGACTGGACTTCATGTTCGCCCGCTCATCTGCTGAGCTCCGTGGAAGGCAACCCTCTGGAGTTCCGGATGGGCGTCTCGCGTCCCGCCGCCTTCCCTCGGCCCGCACGCCGCGGCCGGAGAAGCCGCTTAACCTCAGGCCGGGCCGCGGGCCGCCCACCCCGCGCACCGGAATAACCTCCGGCCTAGCGCGCGGCTGCCCCAGCGCGCACCGCGTCCCGCTGCGCCCAGGGCGCGGGCAAACTCAGCACTTCCAAGGAATTATAACACAGCAATTGAAAGCTATCGATCAATTCTTGCAATTAAGGCCAGAGACTCCCGGCGCCGCTGTTCACGGCGGGAAAAGAAAAGCTTTCCTGTTCGGCCAAACCCTCCTCCCCCATTTCTCACAAAATGCGAGATGATTGATAGAGCCTGGAGTCAAAGGGTCAATCTACAGAATCAGCAGCTTAAAATAGGGAAGGCAAACAAACACCGGGTGTGTGTCTGGGGTGGGGGTGGCGCGTCTACATGACAATCGGCAGCTGCTTTTGATCGGAAACCCAAGCGGTCCCTGAGCCCCGAAAGGCGGTCTGCAGAGGAGGCGCCCCGCCGCGCCTCTCCGGGTCCTGCCCCTCCCTTGCCTGGGGACGCGGCGCCAGGCCTGAGGCCGACAGGGCCGCTATTCTGTGCCTGCGGAGCTGGAGAAAGACTATTTCGGGCAAAATCGCCAAGGATTCTGGGACTGGAGCCCCGGGAGCAGGTGGGACTTAATTTGTCCTCTTTTCTAGAGGTAGGACACGGCAGTTTACAAAGGCTTGGAAAACATGTATTTATGTGATGCTAGGCAACTTGCTAGAAAAGAGCTGTTTGGCTGCATATTTGGTAAATGTCAAGGTTTTGAGCTGTAGAGCTTTATTGTAGCAATAGCGTTAAGTTCAGGACGTAACACTTCTAGTTTCCAAGACAAGATGTGATTTTGGACATTAGTGAGGGTACTGCTGTTAGGACTCAAATTTTCCTCCCAGATGCTCATAATCCCAGAGCTGGAACAAATTCTCTTAAGGCGTAAATTCTAAGGCCTGGCAGTATTTTACTTTCCAGGTAAAATAATGGGGGATGAGGCATAAAAAGTATGCTGAAAAGATTTTCGGTTTGAAACTTTCCTTGTCTGATTATCTTTGGCTGTCAATATTTAAAAGCGAAGCACTGAAAAGCATTGTGCATGAATAGTTTGTTGACAGACTTCATTGTAGTAGTGACCTGGCCTATTCTTTGGAGAATGCCCAAATGTCAGCGAGTTTTTCTCTGGAACTGCATGGTTTCTTCAGAGAATAATCTTCCCATCTTGACTGGGGGATGCGGGGAGGGCTGTGCGGTATGTAAGCCTTGGATGCTGATTTAATGAGGCCAAGATGGGGTAAGACTGGTGACATTACTTCAGTAAAGGATATAGATTTTCACCTGATTCCCTTGTCTGATGCTTCACATGCCTGCTTTCATTTGGGTCTGATTTCTCTGCTTCAATTCACCTAGAAAATAAACTGTATGTGGGATGGGGGAGTTATCTGGATTCCTAGGGTGGGATAGACACCCTGGACATTCAACAGCTCTTACAGACTTTAATGAATCCCTTGTTTCCAGCCCCACACCTTCCTCCATTCCTTGGCAACTTTCGCCTGCAAAAATTGAGCCTCTCACAGATTCTATATGGAGTGAGTTTGTCTCTTTAGTATATCCCTTGCAGACATTTAACATGTAACTTTCTTTGGTCTCGTAATTCATTTCTTTATCTGGTTTAGCTTTCTGCAAACTGGCTGACATCTCTCATTCTGTTGTCTCATCTATTCTTTTTGTCCTTGGGGGTTACTGTTATTTTGGCAGACTTCCTGATAGACATGTGAGAACAATCTGCCATCTACTAGGAAAAGATTTTTAAATCCTTCATGTCATATTTGAGGTATTTAATGTTTTATCATCCTCAGAAAAGGAGAAAAAAAGCATATTTTAATACTCTGTGGAGGCAGTCAAGTTACCTACAATTACATCCAGTATTTTAATGACCACTGCTTGTCAAATAATCACATCTAGTTCATTAAAGGAAAAAAAAACATACTGAGTTTTTACAAACACAAGAGGCAATAAATCACCCGCTTTTGCATTAAGTTCATATGTTTTGTAGAAACCAAAATAATAATCAATGCCAGGGATTATACAGGCATGAATAGGGAAATGGTATCTACCCTCATTGAATTGTCATAGTTGCACAATTGGTAGACAGATCAAGTTCTATGGAATGTACTTAAAACAGGTGGTCTTGCAGAAAATAAGAACCCAGAATACACATTAACACTGCCCAATATGGCAGTCTTAAGCAACTGAAACCATTTTTCCCTGATTCTAACCAAAATTATGATGCTTCTCTTTTAAATTTGAGCATGTCCTCACAATACCAGGAAATAATGGGAAAGCAACTGACAAGGTGAGAACATCCAATCACTTATCCCTAATTAAACTGAGTGGCCAGATAGGATTACCAGGGAAAGGGAGGTTTGAGCTGAGTCCTCAACAACAAAACGCTAGACATGAGTATCTGGAGACTGTTCCAGGAAAAGGGAGCTTAAGTGCTAAGTAAAGCTCTGTGGTGGAAGAGAGCCTGGCATTTTATGTACAGAAAGGCCAGGATGGCTGCTGTGTGATAAGCAGTCTTCCTAAGTCTTATGTTTTCACATAGAATTCTTACTGGAAAATAAAAGAAAACCAGAGTTCAAAATGGTCCTTTTCAGGTGTCAATCTTGTGTGAGTGTAGCAAAATACCAAATGTATGAAAACAGAAGAATTTGTTACCTACCAGTCAGATGTACTAAGAAAACTTGCCACTTATCTGCAAATCTAAAGAAATAATCCAATGCCTAGACATTGAGAGAAGCCTTGAGTAAGCCTCTATATTCTGATGAAAATATTTTGGTAAAAGAAAAATTATCACATAATTTAAGGGAAAATTTGTCTTGTGAGGTCTCTAAATATCAGCATATGATTATAGCTTTGAGAAGTAAAGAACATTTAAAAATTTTACTACTGGTTCTTGTCAAATACAAAACTAACCCAACATTAACTGCTTCTTTCCCTACAAAACATGATCAAATAGCTGTCTGTCATTAACCCCACCAAGAAACCACTAGAGGATCTGACACCCACTACCCACCCCTGTAAGAACAAAACTTTAGGTGAAAATTACCTTTATTTACTATTTCAACACAAGTTTAAGAAATGACTTACAATCTTACATGTGGAAAATAGCTACTATAGGAAAACTATGTAAACTAGCTTCAATGACTGCAGACTAGACTATGCTGATTTAAGAGCAGCAACAGTCGCTTCTGGCAAATGGAAAAACAGAACAAAGCCCTGCAGTGAACCTGTGATTACTAAGGTTGAACTGTTCATTCCATAATCCTACAACTCTCCTATAATCATTTATCTGTCTATATATTCTGCTTATTAGAGGATAAACACCTAGCAAAGTGGTTCTGAAAGGAGTAAACAATTCACATTTATCTATAAAACAAACTCAATAAAAGGCAGTGGAGGAAATGGGGGACTACTGCAAAGTTTTAATTCTTAGACCAGGTGATGAAGTCAAGATTTTTCTTTTGATGGTGATCAGTCTAAGGAATGAAATTAAGTATGAAAGCTCTTCTCACTCTCTAGGAGTGACTCTAGCTCTTCTTGCAGAGAGCTGAGCTGCTCCTTTTCTCGGTCTTCCTTTTGTTTGAGTTCATCCAGCACAGCCTGAAACCTGTTTTTGAGAGCCAGGTTTTCCACTTTCATGATGAGATCCTCCTGGCGTTTTGCCCTTTCTTGGGTCTCTTGGAGCTTGCCTTTGATGTTATCAATCTGTTTCTGAATTCCCATAACCAGTTGACTTGTTCCCTCCTTTTCTTGGTGCTGTTCATCTGATTTTAGCTTGTCCTGTAGCTGTCTTACCAGATCCTCCTCAGTGTCAATGATGTTTATATCTTCTTCATCCTGATGCTGTGTCTCATCTTCATCTTCACTGCTGCTGCTGAGGTCATTGAATATCTCCCGAAGCTCATCATGCTCTAGTGAGTCACGACCCTGCCTGTGGCCAGACATTCCTGGAGAAGAGATATCAAGGCCTTGATTTTCTGTTTCTTTTGTTTCATCTTCAGCAATTATTTCCCAACGAGTACTGACAGCTTCGGCATCTGTACTCAGCAACCGCTTCACTTCTTTTTCCACATCTGGAGATTCAATGTACTTCTTTTTTGCTGTCTTCCGGAACCTTCTCTTTCTGACATTTTTTAGAGGCATGGTAAGCCCATGGTTCCATACAAACTTTTTCTCTTTATCCTTATCCTTTTTCTTGCTTGCTTTGGGATCAGCAGTAGCAACTGGTTCCTCCACAGGCGGATAGAGATCACCATCAACTGTGCAGACAAGCATCTGACAGATATCAGCTGTCTTGTAAAAGGTTTTTTTATCAATGGTTTTCAGGCTTTCCATAACACACGGCATATCTACCAATTTTGAGGCCAGTGGGACCCGGTCCACTCTGACAATTCCATGACGCCCATCAGGGTGCATTTCAATAGAAAGTCTGTCCTTCAGGTTCACATGACCAGACTGTACTGCCCGCCTCACAGTAGAGGCAAATTCTGGGGGTAGCCGTAAGATAAACTGGCTCTCTAGTTCATGAGGAGCATCATCTTTGCTCTTACTCATCTTTATTTCTTGGAGATTCACTTCTCTAATAACCACTTGTTGCACTTAAAAGTTCCAGCTACTGCAACAGTTAAAAAGACCAGTTTGTTATGAAGTGAAGTCTTTAATTACAAAGAGTTGTACGTAGAACAGCAGCTAAGTGTCTATTTAGTCTTAATTTTGAACCAAGCCAAGTCTTTCTAAATTTGCTGTGACTGAATATGAGTCGTTACAGACATACTGGCTTGTCAGTTAGGTTCGTTTAAATCTATTAGCTGCAATGCCAAGTTCCAACCTCTAGATGCCGCTGCCGGACAACGCAGAGAAACCGAGAAGGAAAACAAAAAGGCGGCTCCCGCGGAGTGATTTTCGGTACAGGAAAGTAATATCCGGCAGACGCTCCCAATCCACAAACTCTTTCGGAACAAAAGATATTCAAAAGCCGGGAGCAGTGAGCTCTCTTCGCCTCGGGTACTTACAGTCCAGTGACCATCTTCTCCCAAAAGTAGCGAGCAGAGGAGGAAGCCACTCAGAGCATGGCGGCCGTGGGCCAGAGTCTCCTTCCTTAGTCCTTCGTTCCTACCGCCTCTTGCCCGAGCAATCCGCTGATTACCAATGAAATAGCCCAACACGGACGGTGCGAAATCTCGCCGCGCTCCGCGGCTCTGAACGCCAGACTTAGCAGCTCGGCAGCCCAGCAGCTCCGCAGCTACGGAGCTCAGCGGGCCGGCAGCACAGCCGTCCGCCGGCCGGAACCGCAGAACAAGCCGACGAGGGAGTGCTACGTCACCGCGAGCGGGATTGGAGGCTGCTGTGAGTGACAGCACGACTCAAGCGGAAGTGTGTGTTGTCCTGGCGTGCGCAGGCGCAGTTACGCTATCCGGCGGCTTGTCTTCTTGGTTTAGGAACAGTTCCAAGAAAGACATAGATCCTCCCGTCCCCTGTCCCTCGTCCCCTGTCCTCCTCTGCTAAGCCAGAACTTTTACCGGATCGCCGTGGGGCCAGATAGCTGCGAGGTTTCCGGGTGATTACAGGAGATAAGGCATACGTGCAGAAAGCGTCTTAAGTTTTGGAAACATCTCGGATGCTCCCCAGGATATATATGGAGCCGATACAAGAATTGATAAAGAATAATACTGTGGATTTAATAATACTGTACCCAGTTCAGTGGTGTGAGGAGGGCATGCTGCTCACTATATAATGCTAACCATATATTTTGTTGATAATGAGAATGTCTGGAGGAGACCCATGCCTGAGGGACTGTCTTTTGAAGGACCCCCAAGAGAACAAGGGTGATTCCCCTTTTTAATACATTTAACGTAGATACAAATGTAAACAGAGAAGTGCCTCTTCTGGAGGCATATGTTCATTTGGGACAGAGTTGTCTAATAGACAAATGGTCTGACTGAAGTAGAGTATAATTGAAGTATTACTGCCTAACACTTATTTGCCAGTAATTTTTAAATAAGAGTTTTTTTATTCCACCTCTACTATTTTTATAGTTTTCTGCTTCTCTTTACTATGGGTAGTCAGGTATTCATTAACATGTATTTACAGTATTTGAGCCAAGCTATGTAGCAGTTTCCACTTATTCCTGTTCATTTCCATTTATTTTTTAATAGGATCGGTTTGGTAGTGCATCAAGGTCATTAAGAATTTAATTTTTATTCTCTAACATATTAACAACTTCATCTAAATTTGAGAGAACTCGCTTAAAATGGGATTAACATTTCCAAAATTCGCCTTATGTACTTATTGTCTCCCTCATGCTAGATTGGAAGTTCCATGATAATCAGTAATCTTCTGTCATGTTCACAGTGTCCCAGTGCCTTGTACCAGAACTTGGGAGATACACACAAAATGTTTGCTAATTGAATGAACAATTCATGCATATAAAGAACATACAGTCCAACTCCTATAATAATTTGTGAGAGAAAATACAGTTTATTCACCTTAAAATGAGAAGCCACTTTACATCCATTTCCTTTCTAATCAAGGACAATGACGATTGTTATGAAGGGAGAGTTTTGCTAATGGTGTGTGTGAATGTGTCCTTTTTGGTGTAGATGATACTGTGTATCATGGGAGGAAATTAAAATGGCCCAGCACCAGTTTGGATTTTTTATATTAAGTTTAAAGGAGAACTTAATGCTCCTACAGAGAAGATACATAACTGTACACTAGTTCCCTTTGTTCCACAATATGTTGATGAATGTTAGCTGATTTATTTATAATTTCAAGACTGATCTGTTTATTCTCTTTGAAGATGAAATCTTTTCAATGTGCTTGTCCCTTAACTATACTTGATTTTACATATTTTATAGATGTGAGTTTAATGTGCTAGTCTATGCATGATGCTTTAACCATATAAAATGTGAGGCCATGCTTATACATGAAAATAATCCAAATGTTGTTCTACATTTTAATTGCCTGTGAGTTTTATGATGCTCTAATATCCTTATTACAGAACTTGAGGTAAATTCTGTGCCATTCTTATTTGCCAACACTATGGTGTATTTTAGCTAGTAAGCCTTTAAATGCTAGATTGCCAGAGATAATTAAAAAGATGAACTGAAATTTCCACTGAAGTATCTATCTTCTTCAGTCCTGAAATATATTTTCTGATTTTAAATTTAACACATTTTCTAAATGCTGTTTTTTTTTGGGGGGGTGGGGGGTTTAGGGAAAACTGCATTGATCCAAAGCTAAGGAAATCCAGTTTTTAAAAAAATCAAATCCATTAGACATACAGAAACTCTGAATTAATGAAGGAATAACACTTCTGTGGTTGTTCCTTGGAATATATAATACTAGTGAACCAAAGATTTCGGAAATGCCCAGTGTGATAAAAGTCCTCCAAAGGGTTCCTTCCCATGATAAAGGAGTCACAATCAGGCTAATGTATGCTGTATGTTTAAAATGTCCCTTTAATGAACTTAAAAGTTCCTTATACTAGGGAGTTTAAAAAATTTTAGGTGATGGGAGAAGTCCTACTTATACTGTGGAAATAGAAAATTATAGGGGTGAGGAAGAAGCAAACACCCCATAAAATACCCTTATATACTGCTATATCAGTATTTGTACAGTAAAAAGCAGGTTAACTAAAATGTAGCAGTGTGCTGCATCAAGTAGAATTTTCTTTTGTTTATTTAAATTTATTGAGAATTGTTTTATGGCCCAGTATATGGTAATACTATTCAAAATTACGTGTACTTGAAAAAACTTGCACCCTACACTCATAAAGAAATTAATAGAAACAAAGAAAAAACTTAAAATAGTCTTTATATTTACGTAGGTACTATTTCTGATGTGCTCCATTCCTTTCTGATATGTGTTTATATTTGTTGTCATTTCCTTTCGAGCCAAAAAACTCCTTTAGCATTTCTTATAGTGCAGGATTGTTGGCAACTTAGCTTTCTTTCATCTGCAAATGTCTTCATTCCCATTTCATTATTGACATATACTTCTGGTGGATATATAATTCTGAGTTGACCTTTTTCTTTCAGCATTTTAGAGATGTTGGTACTCTCCTGGCCTCTGATTTCTCCTAAGTCAGCTGTTAATTGTTCCTCTGTTTGTGGTCTATTATTTTTCTCTTGCTGCTTTCAAGATTTTTAGCTTTCAGTAATTTGACTATGATGCACTTAGGTGTGACCTGTTTATAAAGGTGGGTTTGTGGACTACCTTAAATCTGTCCATTTCTGTCTTTCATCAAATTTGGGAAGTTTTTTTGCTATTATTTCTATAAATATTTTTTCTGCTATATTGTTTCCATTTTCTGCTATATAAGGTTTCCAATTACATATATTTTAGACTGTTTTATATTATCTAACTAGTCCATGAGACTTAAAAAAAAATTTCCCCCCACTGTTCTTCAGCTTGGGCAATTTCTCATGCTCTTCCTTCTAGATCACTGATTCATTCTTTTGAAGTAAGCTGTTTTCTATAGAAAAAAAAATTAACCTAATTTACACTGGTTTAAACAAAATAAAATCTGTTATATAAAAAAATAGTCTAGAGCAGCTCTGTCCAATAGAAATATAATGTAAGCCACAGATGAAGGTCCTATATGTGATATTAAATTACCTAATAGGCAACTAAAAAAGCAAAAAGAAGTGAAATTAACTTCAATAATATTTTACTTAACCTAATAATCCAAAATATTATAATTTCAACATTAATAATGTAGAAATTATTAATAACAAATTTTACATTCTTATTTTGTAAGAATTTAACATATTCAAAATCTGTTAGGTATTTTATATTTCAGCGCATCTGGAATTTGGACTAGTCACATTTCAAGTGTTCTGTAACCACATATGGCTGGTGGTTACTGTGTTGGACAGTGCAGTTCTAGGAGTATGGCTGTCTCTAGACATGATAAAATCATGGCCGGGCACAAATTGTTTTTCTCTTTCTAATTTTAGAGAATGAACATTTATTTATAATTTTTCTATTCTTCCAGATTTGCCCTCATCTTATAAACTTTCAAAGTCTTTGGTCTCAAGAAACCTGCCAACAGTAATGGGGAAACTTCCTTCTTTCCATGGTAAGTTTAGCGAGTGGCTTCCCCAAGAAAAGTCTGTCTTTCAATCCAATTGGACTAATGTGGGCCATGTACTTATCCCTGACTCAGTAACAGTCATCCAGAGAATACCCTAAGCCTATGGTTTTCAGAATGATGGTAATTGATATTTGGTAACATCTGGAGACATTTTTGATTGGCACAATTGTGGAGGTAGGGTCTGGTGGCATCTAGTCAGTAGAGGCCAAGAATGCTGCTTAATATAACGCACAGAAAAGCCTCCACCAACAAAGAGTTATCTGGCTCAAAATATTACCAAGGTTGAGAAACCCTATCTAAAGCTTATTATTTTAAGCTTATATTCCTAATTAAACAATGGCAAGAGGAATGAGATTGCCATTATTGGTTTAGATCTATCAGAACCTGCTACAGCTATTAACTGGTTAAGTATGCCTTTAGGTACATGGAAGGTAGACCCCTAAATTAAAAAGGAAATGCTAAAAGAGAGAAAGGTCTGGGCAACTATCTTAGCTTGGGCTGCTGTAACAATAGGATAAACTGAATGGCTTGTAAACAATGGAAATATATTTCTCAGTTCTGGAGACTTCTCAGTCTCCAGAAGGTGATGGAAGATTTAGTGTCTGGTGAAACCAGGCTTCTTGGTTCATAGACAGCAGTCTTTTCACTGTAATCCCACACAGTGGGAGGGGTGAAGATGTTCTACGGAGCCCTTTATATTTTTTCCTTAAAATACATGTTTTACTGCTTTTTATTTTACATTTATACATATTGACTATTGAAAATACAGGAAATGAAAATTATTCATAATCCCACTACCCATGTTAAAAAAAAACTGTTCAGCGTTTTGTTGTAGAACCGTGCAGATTCTTTTCCTATGCCTGCATATATATACCTATATTTTTTAGTATCAGGTAATATTTATTGAGCCCTTATGTGGCAGCCCTTATGTGGCTGCTCTCCCAATATCCATTCTTTATTTTGTTTTACTATTATTATTTTTTATTATTATGTTATCATTAATACACCATCACATGAGCAATATTGTGATTACTAGATTCCCCCAATTATCAAGTCCCCACCACATACCCCATTACAGTCACTGTCCATCAGCATAGTAAGATGCTACAGAGTCACTGTGCATAGTGTCACTGTACATCAGCATAGTAAGATGTCTTCTCTGTGCTATACTGCCTTCCCTGTACCCCCCTTACATTATGTGTGCTAATCATAATGCCCCTTAATCCCCTTATCCCTCCCTTTTCCCCCACCCTCCCCACTCCATTTCCCTTTGGTAATTGTTAGTCCATTATTGGGTTCTGTGAGTCTGCTGCTGTTTTGTTCCTTCAGTTTTTGCTTTGTTCTTATACTCCACAGATGAGTGAGATCATTTGATACATGTCTTTCTCTGCCTGGCTTATTTCACTGAGCATAATACCCTCTAGCTCCATCCATGTTGTTGCAAATGGTAGGATTTGTTTTCTTCTTATGGCTGAATAATACTCCATTGTGTATATGTACCACATCTTCTTTATCCATTCATCTACTGATGGACACTTAGGTTGCTTCCATTTCTTGGCTATTGTAAATAGTGCTGTGATAAACATAGGGGTGCATATGTCTTTTTCAATATGGGATCCTGCATTCTTAGGGTAAATTCCTAGGAGTGTAATTCCTGGGTCAAATGGTATTTCTATTTTTAGTTTTTTGAGGAACCTCCATACTGCTTTCCACATGGTTGAACTAATTTACATTCCCACCAGCAGTGTAGGAGGGTTCCCCTTTCTCCACATTGTCACCAGCATTTGTTGTTGTCTTTTCAATGTTGGCCATCCTAACTGGTGTGAGGTGATATCTCATTGAGGTTTTAATTTGCATTTCTCTGATGATTAGTGTGCCTGTTGGCCTGAATTTCTTCTTTGGATAAGTGTCTGTTGAGATCCTCTGACAATTTTTTAAAAAATTTTTTATTAAGGTATTATTTATATATACTCTTAAGAAGGTTTCACATGAAAAAACAGTGTGAAAAACAATGAAAAAGCATGAAAAAACAATGTGGTTATTACATTTACCCATATTCTCAAGTCCTCACCCATACCCCAATGCAATCACTGTCCATCAGTGTAGTAAGATGACACGGATTCACTATTTGTCTTCTCTGTGCTACACTGTTTTCTCCGTGATCCCCCCACACCATGTGTACTAAATATAATATCCCTCAATCCCCTTCGCCCTCCCACACCCCTCCCCTTTGGTAACCACTAGTTCCTTCTTGGAGTCTCTGAGTCTGCTGCTATTTTGTTCCTTTAGTTTTGCTTCCTTGTTATACTCCACAAATGAAGGAAATCATTTGGCACTTGTCTTTCTCTGCCTGGCTTATTTCACTGAGCATAATATCCTCGAGCTCCATCCAGGTTGTTGCAAATCGTAGGATTTGTTTCCTTCTTATGGATGAATAGTATTCCATTGTGTATATGTACCATCTTTTCTTCATCCATTCATCTACTAATGTACACTTAGGTTGCTTACATATATTGGCTATTGTAAAAGGTGCTGCAGTAAACATAGCAGTGTATATTGTCTTTTTGAAACTGAGAAGTTTATCCTTTGGGTGAATTCCAAGGAGTAGGATTCCTGGGTCAAATGGTATGTCTATTTTTAGTTTTTTGAGGAAACTCCATATTGCTTTCCACAATGGTTGAACTAGCTTACATTCCCACCAGCAGTGTAGGAGGGTTCCCCTTTCTCTGCATCCTCGCCAGCATTTGTTGTTCTTAGTCTTTTCGATGCTGGCCATCCTTACTGGTGTGAGGTGGTATCTCATTGTGGTTTTAATTTGCATTTCCCTGATGATTAGTGATGTGGAGCATCTTTTCATGTGTCTGTTAGCCATCTGAATTTCTTGTTTGGAGAATTGTCTCTTCATATCCTCTGCCCATTTGTTACAGGTTATTTGCTTTTTGGGTGTTGAGGCGTGTAAGTTCTTTATATATTTTTGGATGTTAACCCCTTGTTGGATATGTCATTTACAAATATATTCTCCCATACTGTAGAATGACTTTTTGTTCTGTTGATGGTGTCCCTTACCGTACAGAAGCTTTTTAGTTCTATGTAGTCCTGTGAGTTCATTTTTGCTTTTGTTTCCCTTGCTTGAGGATATGCATTCAGGAAGAAGTTGGTCATGCTTATATTCAGGAGATTTTTGCCTATGTTGTCTTCTAAGAGTTTTATGGTTTTGTGACTTACATTCAGGTCTTTGATCCATTTCTAGTTTACTTCTGTGTATGGGGTTAAACAATAATCCAGTTTCATTCTCTTGGATGTAGCTGTCCAGTTTTGCCAACACCAGCTGTTGAAGGTGCTGTCATTTCCCCATTGTGTGTCCATGGCTCCTTTATCATATATTGATTGACCATATATGTTTGGGTTTATATCAGGGATCTCTAGTCTGTTCCATTGGTCTATGGGTTATACAGCCTCTTTTTTTTTTCTTTTGAGAGGGCATCTCTCATATTTATTGATCAAATGGTTGTTAACAAGAATAAAATTCTGTATAGGGGAGTCAACACTCAATGCACAATCATTAATCCATCTCAAGCCTAATTCTCGTCAGTCTCCAATCTTCTGAAGCATAATGAACAAGTTCTTACATGGTGAACAAATTCTTACATAGTGAATAAGTTCTTACATGGTGAACAGTACAAGGGCAGTCATCACAGAAACTTTCGGTTTTGATCACGCATTATGAACTATAAACAATCAGGTCAAATATGAATATTTGTTTGATTTTTATACTTAATTTATATGTGGATCCCACATTTCTC